CACAAGCAATAGAACACAGTCAAACTAGAGTCTTGGACTTTAAGAGAGCTAATTTCAATAAACTTAGAGAGGGCTTGGGAAGGATACCATGGATGAGAATCCTCAAGGGGAAAACAACTCATGAAGCTTGGGAAATTTTTAAAAGTGAGATAATAAAAGCCCAGTCCAGCACAATACCAACAAAGGGAAAATAACAGCTCTCAAAAGAAACCAGCATGGCTGCATAAAGAACTCTCTAATAAATTGAAAGATAAAAAGAACAAGTATAGAAAGTGGAAAGAGGGGCACATAACTAAGTCAGAATATCAACAAATAGCCCGAGCCTGCAAAGATGAAGTGAGGAAAACTAAGGCTCAAAATGAACTAAGGCTTGCGACCAAAGTCAAAAATAACAAAAAAAAAGCTTCTTTCAACATGTAAAAAACAAGAAAAAAGTGAAGGAAATGATTGGTCCATTAGTAGGGGAAAGTGGCAAGAAGGTGACAAGCAACAGGGAGAAAGCAGAACTATTTAACTCGTTTTTTGCATCTGTCTTTACACAAAGGGGAAAAAACAGACCAACCTACCAAAAATAGTGCCATAAAAAACAGAATAGAAACACAAGTTAAGATAGGCAAGAAAACGGTAAGTGAGTACCTGTCCAGCCTAGATGAGTTCAGTTCACCAGGACCAGATGGATTACACCCCAGGGTTGTCAAGGAACTGGCAGATGTGATCTCAGAACCATTGAACTATATTTTTCAAAGATCCTGGAGCACTGGGGAACTACCGGAGGACTGGAAAAGAGCTGATGTAGTTCCCATCTTCAAAAAAGGGGAAAAAATGGACCCAGGAAATTACAGACCTATCAGCCTGACCTCAGTACCTGGGAAGATTCTGGAAAAGATAATCAAACAACGAATCAGCGAACACCTAGAGGCATCAAAGTCATTACTAAAAGCCAACATGGGTTTGTCAAAAACAGATCATGCCAGACAAATCTTATTGCATTCTTTAACCAAGTGACAAAATTAGTGGATCAGAGGAATGCTGTGGATATAATTTACTTGAACTTCAGTAAGGCATTTGATAAAGTAGATCACAACCTACTACTTGATAAGATAGAAAAATGTGGGTTAGACAGCATCACCACCAGATGGATCCGTAGCTGACTGACCGGCTGTACTCAGCGTGTGGTCCTCAATGGAACCGCATCTACATGGAGGGAAGTGTGTAGTGGGGTGCCCCAGGGCTCTGTTCTGGGCCCAGTGCTCTTCAACATCTTCATCAACGATTTGGACGAGGGGATAGATGGGGAAATCGTCAAATTTGCAGATGACACCAAGCTGGCAGGAATAGCCAACTCCAGAAGACAGGCTTAGGATACAGGAGGATGCTATCTAACAAAATGAAATTCAACGGTGAAAAAAGTAAGATTCTACATTTAGGCAAGAAAAACCAAATGTACAGGTATAGTATAGGGGGTACCTTGCTCAATAGTAGTAACTGTGAGAGGGACCTCAGAGTCCTAGTGGACAATTACTTAAATATGAGCCAGCAGTGTGCTGCAGCTGCCAAAAAGGCCAACACAGTTAATGCTGTGTTAACAGGGATAGAATTAACAGGGATAGAATCAAGATCACGTGAAGTATTAATACCACTTTACAATGCCTTGGTAAGGCCACACTTGGAATACTGCATCCAGTTTTGGTCACCACGATGTAAAAAAGATGTTGAGACTCTAGAAAGAGTACAGAGAAGAGCAACAAAGGGGACTGGAGGCCAAAGCATATAAGGAAAGGCTGCTGGAATTGGGTATGTCTAGTTTAATGAAGAGAAGGACGAGGGGGGGCATGATAGCAGTATTCCAATATCTCAGGGGCTGCCACAAAGAAGAGGGAGTCAAGCTATTTTCCAAGGCGGATGGAAACTAATCAAGGAGAGAAGCAACCTAGAACTAAGGAGAAACTTCCTGACAGTTAGAACAATTAACCAGTGGAACAACCTGCCTCCAGAAGTGGTGAATGCTCCAACACTGGAAGTTTTTAAGAAGAGACTGGACAGCCATTTGTCTGAAATGGTATAGGGTTTCCTGTCTGAGCAGAGGGTTGGACTAGATGACCTCCAAGGTCCCTTCCAACATTATTATTATTATTATTATTATTATTATTATTATTATTATTATTATTATTATTATTATGTTATAAAATACCAGAGTAGTTGTTTGTAATTAATGGGGAAAATTAATTAGAACAAGTAGGTTAATTTGTGCATTTCGGTAAAAAGTTTACTTGAAGGAAAATGTATGGAGAAATATTAAGATACAAGCATAAAAATTAGCAGTTGAAACTGAACTACAAAATCATTGTTATCTATATATTTTATTTCTTATAATTACAGTGTCTAATGTGTATATGAAATGCTTTGATAGAATAAAAAATGAGCAATGTTTTGGTTTTTATAGGTCACTATACATCAGCTACCAACCAAGAACAGAGATTCCCTTGATAGATATGCCAAATACACTTCAAAAACAGGTCAGCGGAAAAATAAAAATTACTTTGAGTGAACATTAGAGATAACATTCAGATACCATAGGGTTTTATGGAAAAGATCTGACTCTATGGGATTTGCCTGCTTGACTATTCAGCCTTCCCCTTTGTGGTACTCTGTGGATGTGTTGCAACAACTCCCAAGATGGTGTCTGTAAATTTGGGAACGGTGCTTTAATTTTTCTTAGATGATGTGAGCTGACGTCTTTCCTCTCCTCTCCTCAGATATCCTAAAAGCTGGGTTGCTCTTTTCATTTAGAACAGCCATAGAGAGAGAGAAAACATTCTCTCTCGGTGATTTTCCTGCTAAGCTCCTTTTCACAAAATTATGTGGGCTTCTTTTCCCAAAGAATCTCAAACTAATTTCAATTAAAATAAGAGCTGGAAGGCACCTTGGAGGTTTTCTGCTCAAGCAGGTAACCCCATACCATTTCAGACAGGTGGCTGTCCAGTCTATTCTGGTTAATTGAATGAATTGGTTATATTCATTCTTTAAAGAAAGCAAAACCTAAAAGTTTGTATCGGTTATTTCAGGAATCTCTCAGGCAGAACACCAACAGGGGAAGTTGTGACTACCAGTCAAAAGGAGACAAACTCTAAATAGCCGTTCACCTGCTGTGCTATGTGAAGAACCATCAGTACCCCTCTTTATGCTAATCACTTTGATTTCAGCCATAGTGGAGTAATCACCAGTGGATTTCCTCTATATAATTTTGGGGTGCACCAATAAGAACTTTTGGTGTAAGCAGTAAGTCCAGAAATACTTAGGCTGTTCTGCCTATGTTTAGCAATAGGTACACATGTAAAATTAGAATTAGAGAGATAGTTTGGTGTAGTGGTGAAGGTGCTGGCCTAGAAACCAGTATAAGTTTCCTTTAAGCATGAAATGCCAGTTGAGTGACTTTGAACCAGTCACTAAGCCCACCTCACAGGGTTGTTGTGAGGAAAATAAATGGCAGGAGTATTAGGTACGTTTGCTGCCTCAAGTTATATATTTAAAAGGTAGGATGAATATTCTTAGACACTACCTTAATAATTCTTAGGTCTTTGGTTAGGACTTGAGTTATTATTAAGTTTCTACAAGTCTTAGACTGTAAATCTAGCTGTAGACTACCCATATAATAAAGAAATATAACAATTCATAAAATAATAAAATAGAGCAAGCTATTTGATATCAATGCAGTCAAAGCCAGAACTGAAAAATAATCAAATGATTCAAAGTGTAGATTGTGCAAAGAAGCAGAAGAAACAGTAGATCATATACAGTACTTAGCTCATGCAAGAAAACAGCACAAATTGATTATAAACAATGACATAACATGGTCACCAGAGTGATTCAATGGAAGGTCTGTAAAAATTATCATGCGCCAGTCATGAAAAATTGGCAGGAACACAGTTGAAAAAGTAGCTGAAAATAAGCAGGTTAAATATTGTGGTATTTCCAAATATAAATTGATAAAGGCTTGGCTCACAACTCACCAGCTTTAACTGTTGTTGAAAAAAAAAAGATAATTGATGTGGAAATACCAGGGAATAGTAGAATAGAAGACAAAGAATTGGAGAAGATCACAAAGTATAAAGATCTGAAAATTGTAGTTGAAAGATTATGGCATAAGCCAGCCATATTGGTCCCTCTGGTTATTGGCATACTGGATACTATACCAAAATATCTTGGATAGCACTTAGAAAAAGTGTGCATTTACAAAATTTCCATCTGCCATTTACGAAAGGCCACGCTGCCTGGATTCAAACATATACCGTACTGATACATTATGACATCCTAGTTCTGGGGAAATATTTGAGGCAAATGAAGGCCAATACCAGCTAAGAATTGGCAGTTGTAATTTCACATTATTGTATATGTAATCATAATATAGATTATACAATGTATGTCTATAGTCTCAGACCAATTTGCTTTCTTTCCTTCCTTTTGAAGAGTTTTGGAGAATTATTTTGTAAGTTTTTTTTAAGAAATGTTTATCATCTGACAAAAGGATTATTTGTAGATAAAATTATCTACTGAGTTGCTGGGTTGATTTCCTTATATTTAAGGAAGTTAATATCTAATTCATTAAGTCTCTGATATTTATAATCCATTTCCACCCTGCTCATTCAAGCTAAAACATTCTCCTACAGATTCTAGCTAAAACAGTTTCCTACAAATTAAATTTTGCTTTGGTTCTGTGGGTCTCCTTTTCAGTGTATATTAATACTAGGTGTTTTTCTTCTAAAAAAAACTTCTTCCATTGGGGGAGATAACATAAAAAAGAATTTTCATCACAAATATAAGTACTTGGAGCCAGGCCTAGCAGAAGAGAAGAGATCTGTAGTATATTTCAACAAGATATTTTTATGGTAGCATTTTTTACATATGTAAGTTGCTGTCCAGCTGATTCAGAAAAGTAAGTGGTGTTACCTGTATTCTTATTTAACATTGCATCTGATATTCATTCTCTAATGACAGCCAGGTTAACAGCTAAGATATTTTTTTTAGAAATAATGTAAAACATTTTGAGAATTTCCTAGAAATATTGTAGGGCATTTCTGACATCCAAAACAACACATGCCATCCTAGCTTATAGGACTGAACATATAGTTAACAGCTCACAATCTGTTTTTATATTTATAATGGTTTTATATCTATTTTTATTATATTGTAAGCTAGTTGGGAGTCAGAGTGATCCAACCTTTTTATCTCCTACTCAAAAAGCAATAAATCTACATACTCTTCCTAAACCCATTTATTTTTATCTGTTCGTCTTCTGGCAAGGTTTCCAGGCACTCTTGTGTTTCCTCTTAAAAAGCTCTGTTAAGATAGTTAAGACTGCAGAAAAAAAAACTCATTGCAACCAGCCTGCCCTCCATTGAGGACCTGTATACTGCACAAGCCAGAAACAGGGCTGAGAAAATACCTGCAGGAGCCGTGGTGGTGCAGTGGTTAGAATACAGTATTGCAGGGTAATTCTGCCAACTGCCAGGAGTTTGATTCTGACCATCTCAAGGTTGACTCAACCTTCCATCCTTTCGAGGTCGGTAAAATGAGGACCCAGATTGTTGGGGGCAACATGCTGACTCTGTAAACCGCTTAGAGAGGGCTGAAAAGTACTGTGAAGTGGCATATAAGTCTAAGTGCTATTGCTATCTACAGACTTCTCACATCCTGGACATAAACTGTTTCAACTTCTCCCCTCAGGACACCGCTACAGAGCATTGCATGTGAAAACAACTAGACACATTTTTCCCCCATGCCATCACTCTGCTAAACACCTAATTCCCATAGCACTATCTTATGCCTAAAGATGTAGTAGGGCTGTATTTCTATTATCCTTCTCATCTTTCCTACTATCTTCTACTGGTATCTTTTGATTTATCACTTGTTTGTATGTACACTGAGCACTTCTGCACCGGAGACAAGTTCCTTGTGTGTCCAATCACACTTGGCCAATAAAGAATATTCCTATTCCTGTTGCTACTTTGGAGAGAGTTGTGGCCCATTCTGTAAAGGGTGTAGCTACTTCAGGCATTTTTTTTTCTTAACAGGGTTCCCATAATTGCTATTGTATATGCAAATCTGTTACAATCTGTTTTCCTAAAGTTCTTGCAGTTCTCCCCTCTTGGACACTGTTAATATATCACAGTTTTCAGAATGCCTCCTTCCACTGAAGGAAAAGAGAAATAGAAATGATTGTGAAAATTATTTCTCTACAGCAGATGAAGATATTGGTTTGATACTGGTTTTTATCATAGGGAAAAACTATCTTGTGTTTTCATTCTGATTTTTTCCTCTTCTTTTATCCTGCAACTTTAAGAGAGGTTATTTACCCTGTTTCAGGCATTTAATTATTTCTTTTGGAGCAAGTGCAACCTATTTTGCAGTGTACAGAAAAAGAATTTTCATAGTAAGTGCATGGTTCCATTCTGCTAACTACGGTCGCCTTAAAACATTACCTCAAGGAACCTTTCGGATTAATAAAATAACATCTTGTTACTTAAACATATTTTCTTTGTAGGTTCTAAAAGCTCTGCCTTAAAAAATAAAGGAGAGAAGCCTGAAAGTGCAGATAGATACCAAAGAGACAACCAAACACTCCTACTACAGGTAATTGGTAGTACTACATGGAAAAACTGTAGTACTGGTCTGGATTTCAATTTATCAGATTCAGCATCAGTTCTTTTAATAAGAAGGAATTAAAGAATGTGTGTATGATAATGAACATGTTGACACTTTATGGTGATATACTATTGACATTCCACCTCTCCTGCATTGGAGTCTTGACTGAACCCCAGTTAAACAGATCTTAGTGAAGGGTATTTTCATCTAGCCAGGTTTTGGTAATGGATGCCAGTCTTCCCTTTAATCCACCATTTCTTTCTGTACAAGTTGGATCTATTATAGACAGATCTGGTATTAAGGGCATTAACCTGTTCCATTTCAAGTGTGCCTCCCTGAGAAAAGTGGGGGAAAGAGAAAGTGGCAGAAAGTACCAAAACAGCATTAAGAAGATAGTACTTTCGCAGGCACCTAGATTGACTTACTGTTTTACTTCAGGCATGAACAAAAGATTGCAAAAGTGGCCAGGCTAGAAACAGCCTTGGCAAGGAGAGAAGCAGAACTACCTGAAATTACACTAGCCACAATGGAACCATTAGAACCGTTCTTCCCACTCAGAAGCATGCAGTGTACATGACAAGATGTGAGCGGAAGAAAATGGCACAGGAATTGAATGTAGATTTCTTAATAGAACTTCCATATTAAACTCAGTGGTTGCTGGGATGCTGTCTTGGTTTTGCAATTCGAAAGTTTAAGAGATCTGCAGCCTTGAATTGCTCACTGGGGAAACTTCCAGATCTGGTATCCATCAAGAGAAGCCTGACAAGTTAATAGCCCCAAGAGTTCTGACTTTCATTTGACTGACAAAAGGAATTGTGCAGGAGCAAGAATTGATGACTCGGGAGTCATTTCTATATAATTCTCTTCCTGGTGATATTTCACTATTTCATCAGAATTTAGCTATGCAGATGTATGTTCCCACGCTCTTATATACTAAGCTATCTGATAAAGTCACCCAGGGTTCACCTTAACTTCATTTTATTCCCCAATGTTATTAAGTGGTCACAATCATTGAAGGGATTTTGAGGGGATCCCACTTTTCTTCCGAGCTGGGCTCCTAGTACAATGTAACCTAACAGGTTTGCCTTTATTACAAGAGTGAGTTGTCATTTTCCCCTTATTCTTGTGCGACATATTGTGGCTGTGCAAATATTGAGACAGATGAAGGTAGTGCAATTGGCAGAAGGAGGAGCAAATCTGGGAATGTATGGTCCAAAGAAAGAGATTAGTGGTGGATGACACTTTAAGTAATCGTTTTATCTTTGACATTTAATGGTTGGACAAACAACTGTGATGCTTTTCTAAAAAAGAATACATAATGTTCCCTTCTTATAATCTTTCACAAAACAGTGGGTTGGACTTGGAGAGTCTAAATCACCCAGCCAGCTTCTGTACCTATGGGAGAACTAGAACTAGAACTTTCCTTTCTTCTAGTCCAACACCTTAATCCACTACACCAAACTGCCTAAAACCTGCAAACAGGTTTTTGCAAGGGAAAGATTTTATTTTATTTTATTTGCATTATAGCATATTCTTCAGATTTTTTTTCTTCTTTGTGGATTCAGGTGGAAGCTCTTCAGGCTCAACTAGAAGAACAGACTAAGCTGTCAAAGGAGCAGATTGAAGCACTGCTAGAAGATCGACGCATCCGAATAGAAGAAGTTCAGGTGCAGCATCAGAGGGATCAGGAAAAGATCAAAGACACCACTGAAAAGTACGTGCAAAAGACCAGTTGAGATCACCTACTAAAAAGAATGATATATTGGGTGTTGTAAAAGCATTTTATCCTGCCCTGGGCAAAATATCATTTTTTTTAAATCTAACGTTCCTGGTTTGAACCTTTGCTACAGTATATGTGGGATCGATTGTTTTGTAAGTGAGCTTATTTCTAGACAATGTTATTATTTGAGAAAGAGTCCTAATATTGTAATTGAGCCTAGCTATTACATGAATAATTAGTTCCAAATTCAATCACCAAAATTCCCAAAGAAAAGATCTTAATATTGCCTCTGTGAGAAATTAAATTAAATTAAATTTATTAAATCTTTGTCTAGCAATCCTGGAGAGCTGCAAATTAGGATAAAGAGTCTTAGATTGGATGACTAATCCAATCTGGGTTAGGATCCAGATCCATGTAGGCTCAAATCCAGAATACAGATGGTAACAAAGCAGCCATGCAGACCTAAACATAGGACACGCCGATATACTGAAGCTGTTGCTTCACGTTCCACATCCTGATTCACCCTCATAGTGGGGTTAAAGTATAAATTGACAAATAACTCATTCACTAATTCATTGTAATCTGCCTCTCCCCAGATACCATAAAGCTCAAAATTTGCTACATGAGAGTACCAAAGATTTTCTGCAGATGAAGTTTGATGCACGAGCAAATGAAAAATCCTGGATGGCAGAGAAGGACACTCTGCTGAGGAAGCTGGACAAATGTAGATGTGCACACAAACCGAGCAGGATTTGTAAGAACGGTAGTCCAGTCCAGGACCACATCAATCAGAGTTACGAGAGTTGTCAAAGCTGGTGGGCTGCTAGCCCAGAGAAACAGGACACTAGCCTGGAGTGGGAAAATAGTCCTTGTCAGCAGAGTTTCACCAAGAGATCACCTCCCAGTGGGAAGGTTGAAGTTTTCAAGAAGAGGAAACCAAGAGCTGCCAGATGTGTTTCTCAAGCAGAGCATGGCATTCATAAAGTGTATGGAGTAGAGATTAAGGTAATGGCTACTATGTTGAATCAGGTTGTTTCTGAAGATTAAATATAATGCCATATGACTTCAGCACTATGATGCGGTGGTGCATTGAAATGTTAAACATTTCTTGCCAGTCATTGTTTTCTCTTAATTATTTATTTATTTATTTATTTACGGTATTTATTTATTTATTGAATTTATATACCACCCTATCTCCCTTACGGGACTCAGGGCGGTGAACAGGCAATAATAAAAACCATGATAAATATAGGCAGTTCTAAAATCAAATTAAATAACGGGCCTGTTCTAAAAACACACCCATACAAAAACACACCCATACAAAAAACCCCACTAAAACATAATCAAACTACGCCAGGCCGGCCGCACGGAATAGATGGGCCATTTCTGTATTTCTTCCAGCTGCTTAAGAAGCCCAAATAAGGATTGAGCTTATTTATTTTATTTTATTTTTCACCTCCAGGGTTTACAAGATCAATTGACACAGGAGCAGACGTTAGCAAATATGTATCGAGAACAGTGTGTTTCATTGGAAGAGGAGTTGGCTAAGATTCGGGAGGAAGGAAATTTAGGTCAAGAGATGTTTAAGGTAAGTAGTTTTTGTTGCTGTTGCAGCAACTTTGCAAATCTTATGAAAACTGTGCACAAATATCTGATTCTTAGATTATAATCTTATGGGTTTTTTTTCCATGTTTGTAGCAACGGTCAGAAAAGATGGGGAAGCGACTACAGCTAATGACCCAGCGCTATGAGGCACTGGAAAAAAGGCGTGTCATGGAGGTGGAAGGGTTTAAAACTGACATCAAACAACTCCAACAAAAGCTGCAGGATGTGGAGAAGCAACTTTTCAAGGTAGCAAGGGTTAAAATAACAATCCCTCCAAAATAATGCGTTGAAACCAAATTTCCAAACTTCTGAAAGAATAATTAGCAGAATCTATTTTTGATTAACTGGGGTTTTACCAAGAGCCAATGTAGTATGGGGCTAAAGAGACTGTGAAGAAAGTTGCAAATTCTAGTCCTCTCAGGGTTATGGGAAGGTCTGACCTTAGGTTCTTGCAATGTGAGGTGTCTCAGGACTCAGATATTTGACCACTCTTTAGTATCTACATGAAACTGCTGGGGGAAGTCATCAACAGCATGGGATGCTATATCATCAATATGCTGATAACCAGTTATAAATCTTTCCCCTGATCAGCCAGGCAATGCCATCTGGGTTCGGACCCAATGCCTGAAGGTTGTGAGGGTCTGGGAAGAAACCAGCTGTGACACAACCATAACATGACACAGTGGGTCTGGTTTTTGCAACCCTCCCCCCGTCCCCTCAATCTGGTGAGGTGTCACCTTTGATTCTTGCCAGGGTAGCACACAGAGATTATACCAAACTTTTCCTGGGCTTGAGGTGGTAGCCATGGCTGGGGACGGGGGCAAGGGAATTTCATAGATCCATCTTGTGCACCATTTATGCCATTATGCCATTCCTGGACCAGGAGGCCTTGTTCATGGCTAGTCATGCTCTGATCACTGCCTGTTGGATTATGGGGATACATTTTGCATGGGTTACTCTTGAAGACCATCCAAAAGTTAAACTGGCCAGAATACAGTTACAGATGCACTTCTAGGCACCCTGTAGTTTGTGTGTATTATACCACTGCTTGAGCTTAACTGGATACCATTTTTGTTCTGGGTACACTTCATGGTGCCAATTATCATCTTTAAAGCTGTATCTGGTACAGGGCAAAATTATTAATGGGACTGCCTGAGGATATCTGCCCAAAGTTACACCAAGTTAGATAGGATGGGATGTCCCAGTTCCCTTTCCTTAAATGTCATCTGGCGAGATGTAGGAAGTATGCCTTCTCTATAGCAACCTCTGCCCTAGGCAACATCCAGATCTCATAAGCCCTTACCTATTAGCCTTCCAGAAGACCTTAAAAAGGTGGTTCTTTCTCTCAAACATTGGGTTAGGGAGTGACTGGAGCCCAATGATTGTTGAATGTTGATGATTAGAAGAGTGTTTGGGAGGTTCTGGGAACTACCTTTGGATGGTGGTTCCATTGTTTCTTGTCACATTTTTACTATTATTTTTGTGAGCCACCCAAGATTATTGTACTTAAGATGGGCAACCATATATGTCCTTTCAGTCAATTGGTTAATAAAATCTACTCAAAACTTTCTAAATTCCTTTTCCAAAATCAAACTACTTTCAAAACCTGTTTGTTCTTTCTTTGAAATTGTTTTTCTTTCTAGGTGATAATGAACGTGGGACCTGAACAAGATCTTGCAATTCTACATGAAGTTCGCCAAGGGAATAAGAGAACTAAAAAGATACAAGGACAACTGAAAAACTTAAAATCAAAAATATATGGGCTGGAGAATGACCTGCGAGTTTATTGATAATGATATGTCAATCAATATGAGTGGTGTTGATAAAAACCTGTCGCTACAACAAACTTTACTTTTTTCTTTTTCTTTTTTTTTACAAATGTGTGGCTTGCAGTGAGTGTAACATATACGTTCCATTCCAGGGCAGAAGAAAACAATGGAAACGTGTGAGAATTGAAAAGAAACTCCGTTTATCTTTTTGAATGAGTATCTAGATTTGGTCTCTGTGATGTTGATTTATGCAGAGTATCAGGACAGAGATATTTGGTGATTGCTTTTGCAGTGTCTAGAAGAGATGCGATCTATAAGAACTTTTCACTGGCTAAGAATGATATGTTGTGCAGGGATCCCAAGAAAGTGGCTAGGCGGGTTGTGTACCTTCTATATCTTAGTTTATTATAGAGAAGAAAGGAATTTCCAAATGACTCTCTCAAACTGGACAGTATAGAAGGGGTTGATACCAATTTATATAGAGAAGAGAATCTCTTACAATGAGTCATAAGGCTGTTTTAATTCCATTTTTCAAATTAGTTCTTTGAATAAGTGCTTTCCTGAATTCTCTACAGATTTGTAGCATAGATCACGATGAACTCTATTCATAAGTGACAGCTTCAGTCTAAAACACAATTCTATCAGCCAGGATAAAGAGTGTGTACACTAAAAGGGGAATCGGACCCACTGAGCTGAAATTTGTATCTGAATAAAATTAAGGATTAAGTTATAACACAAATGCTTCCTAGCCTGGGTCATTTTATGTTTTCATGAGTATAATTTTTATTTTGCAGAAATCTTTCTGAACCCAGAAAAGAATTATGATGCATCTATTGTTTATACTCTGCTGTAGAACATTAAAACTTACCTTATAGTATTTACTTGATATTCTTTTTTTTGTTGATCATTAGCAATTACAGAGGTTTAATGTAAACTTATTTAATAGCCTGCATTTAGGCTATTAATAGGCCATTTAATATTAGTTAATAATTTCCACATAAGAAAAAAAACTTTGGGACAGTGTAAGATAATTGTATCAATCTACTTTGTTAATGGTACAACTAACTTTAACATGCCCACTTATGCTTTCTCTTGTGCATATATACTATGTGCATACATGTATATTTGCATAATATTCCGGAATTATCAGAGCAAAAAATAGTAAGCCAAAGAAATTTAGGCACACTGGCACACATTAAAAAATAAATTCTGATGCCCGCTCTCAAAAGAAGATATATACCCAAGCACTTACATGCACATAAATATACATATGCAATATATATACATACACATACACTCATACGTATACATTTATATATTAATCACAGACCATTTAGAATACATAGCAGAAAAAAGTATTGAGAGTTAACAAGGTGTATATTATATGGTAACTGAATCTAGAATTTCTGCTTCAGATACTGTGAAGCATCCCAGAAGGTAGCAAAGAAAGCTGGTCATGGAGAGGATATGTAGCGTCCATGACAATACTGGGGACCCTAGTCAAGCATCACTTATGTGCTATGTCCTGGACAGAAGGCGGTGAACTTCCAACAATCTTATTTTCTGCCGTCTCACCACAGCCTTTCCGTCCGAAGCAGTAACATCTCCAAATCACACAGTGGTTTCGACAGGATGCTTTCAATAGTCCCTGTATAGAAATGGGAAGGACAAGGGAAGGAAGATGTGCTCTTCTCCTACGATGCAGAAAATGCAGGTGCTGCTGCGCCTGCTTCACCAGTGTCTCACTGTTGAGCCACTAAGCTAACCTGCTTGTCAGCTGCGCACCCAGAAACTTGATACTACTAACCACCTCCAGAGCTGAATCGTTAATACACAGAGGTGTATGGCTGTGCCTGCCTTTTCTGAAATCGACAATGATCTTGCACAACAGTCATGGATCAGCAGGGTGAACAATAGCGGACTTAGGACGCAGCCCTGAGGAGAACTTGTAATCAAGAGCAGCAGCCCCCAACCTTTTGGGCACCAGGGACCGATTCCGTGGAGAAGTTTTTCTGTGGACTGGAGGGGGCATGATGCGTACTTGACTCCATCCCACTGATGGGGCTTCACTTGTTTGTGCAGCCTGGTTTCTGGCATGCTGTGAATGCCAGAAAGTTCTTGATTTATGATTATAATTAGGATTGGAATTCCTGCCGTTAGTCACAGCAGTCGTAAAGTGAGTCATTGTCATGGATCCGCCCCCAGACCTCTCTCTGGACTCAAGATCAGAGGAGGAGTCAGAGTCAGCAGAGGAAAGCGCAGGGCAGGCCCGAGCAAGGCCCCGGATCGGGGCTCAGAGTGCTAGCCTGACGGAGTAGCCTCAGCTGGGTTGATTGGACAAACGACAGGCTGAGGCTGAGCGAGGCAAGCCACAGCTGCAGCAAGTTGTCCAGGAGGCTCTAGGTCAGGGATGTCAAACTCGCAACATCACATGATGTGTCGCGACATATCGTGACTTTTTTTTCCATGGGGTGGGCGTGGTCTCGCTATGATGCACCCGGCCCGTGGGCTGGCAGTTTGACACCCCTGCTCTAGGTGAGTTCCAGGAGCAGCTGCCATCTGTTAACGATGAGGAGGAGGTACTGTAGAATCCACACCTCCCAATCCAAGGACAACTAGGGCAGAGAGGAGACAGGCACAAGGCCAGTCAGCTAGATTATTCACAATGAAGCAACCTCGCCATTCATGAAGGACTGCACTGGCGTTGCCTACTTAATCTCACCCCGAGGACTTGAGTGTTGCTGGATCACCGTGCCCAGTTCCCTGCCTTGTGTGCTCATGTTGTGAATCCTGCCCCGCTTGATGTGTGGACTGCTTTCCTGGACTTTCATGTGTGCCCATTGGAATCTTGCAGTCTGAGCTCAGAATCTGAACCTGCACAACGGGGGGGGGGGGGTGTGCTTTCTGAGGACCTGGTTTGGGGAGGGTGAATAAACACATGTAGAACTCTTGTTGTATGTGTATGTGCATGTATGTGCATGAGGAGACCAGGGCAGCACAGTCATGTGACTAGACCCAATTTCATGATCACTTTTACGTTAAATGAATTGTACGGTCATTAAGCAAATCCAGCTCCTCCAACTAAAGTTGCTTGTTGGAAACCAGCTGAGAAGGTTGCAAACCGTGATCACATAACCAATGGGGTTGCCAAGTGCCCAAATTGCTACCCCATGACCATCGGGGTGGTGTGACATTCGTAAGTCCAAGGACGAGTTGAAAACCACTGTGACAGTTATAACTTTGAACTGTTATCAAACAAAACAGTTGTAAGTTGAGGACTACTTGTGATATCTGAAGATTTATATGATTTCCTCTTGGTTTGGAGTAGAAGGGCTTGTCCCTTGATACTTAATCTGCTTGTTTCAAAATGCTACTGAATGTAGGACCAATCTGTTCTACATAAAATTATCCCTAAAATCAATACACACAGCTATTTTGTTAATTTGGTTTTGGGTGTTGTTGTTGTTCGTTGTTTGTTTTGTTTTGTTTTATTCCAATCACTAACTCAGTGTTAAGAGTATGGAGGAAGCCGAGAAAGCAAAAATATGATTAAACAAACTGTATGTTCTGCCCTTGGAGAATTCTTAGATGAAATCTAATGTGGATGAGGTTGAAAGCTTTGTTTACACTATAAATATAACTGTAGATGTATTACATACTTGTCTGTACTGGCAATATAACTTCTGGATCATATTCTGAACAGGCTTCTGCTGGTTTATTTAGCAGGTACCACAGAACAGGTATGTTTCCACTGTACCTTACATCCTGAACTAGAAGATTTTTCAGATTTTTTAACACTATTAAATTAGAACTGTCAGCTTTCTCATTAAAATAGGACATGTAATGTCAGCTAATATGGTTTGCAACATAAGCTTTTGAAGGGAAAAGTATCCAATCCAATTGACAAATTATAAGAATGGCAGGAAAAATGCAAATACTGAGACTAAAGCAACATGAGTGATAGATTTTGAAGTGAATATCAAAAACTCAAAGCATTGCATTGATTTATAGTATGCTGGAATGTTTAGGATAGTTCTGGGATACTGGAAAAACCACAGTGTTTCACTATAAAAACAACATAGGAACAATTAATTACAGGTAGTCCTCGACTTAGATTCATTCATTTAGTGATCACAATTATAATAGCACTGAAAAAAGTGACATGGTCATTGTTCATGTTTGTGACATTTGCAGCATCCCCATGGTCATGTGATCAAAATTTGGACACTTGGCAACCGGCATGTATTTATGATGATTGCAGTGTCCCCGGGTTATGTGATCACTTTTTGTGATCTGACAAGCAAAATTAATGGGGAAGCCAGATTCACTTAACATCTCTGTAATTAACTTAACAACTGCAGTGATTCATTTAACAACTGTGTCAAGAAAGATTGTCAAACTCACTTAACAACTGTCTTACTTAGAAACAGAAAATTTGGGCTCAATTGTGGTAGTAGACTACCTGTATGTGTCATCAAGTCACTGTCATTACTTAGTGTCCTTATTAAAAGGCCATTATTATTATAAAAGGTCATAATTAAAATCTTATTAGATTTTCTCTAGGAGGATCTGTCCTCAGCCCAGTCATTTAGGTCTTCCATTGTGCATCTACTGTCACTATAACTGAGTCTATCCACTTTGCTAATGGTCATCCTCTTTCTCTCCATCTTTCCCAGCCCTATAGACCCCTCCAGAGATCTAAGTTATCATATGTGTCTAATCATTTGAACCTGCTCATTTGTGCCTTGAGTGAGAACTCTGGATGATCCGTTTATTCGTTTTCTTGGCAGTCCAGGATATTCTTAGGAGTCTTCTCCAACGCCAACTCCAACTTCAAATATTCTTCCTATCCTGCTTCTTCAAAGTCCAACTTTCACTTTCATAGAATATCACAGTTGGAAAAGCATTGCCTGCACAATTCAAATTCAGGCATCTGAAGAGCTGTGGTGGCGCAGTAGTTAGAATGCAGTATTGCAGGCTAACTCTGCTCACATTGCTAGGAGTTTGATTCCGTCGATCCTGACCATCTCAAGGTTGATTCAGCCTTCCATCCTTCCAAGGTTGGCAAAATGAGGACCCAAATT